CGATGAAGAGTCCGATGGCGGCGCAGACGGTAGTGGAGACGGCGGTGACCTTGGTACGATCGGGGCATCCTCGTCTTCTGGCAGGAAGTCTCCTGACGCTCTTCCCGAGACACACTTCACAGCTCGCTTCAAGCATGTCGTGACCGAGGAGGGCCATGCTGTGATTACCGGTCGAGATGGGCAGCTACAGCGGTGCGAAGATGAACCAATCCGTTAGTTCCCTTTCACCTCTTGGAAATGACGTACTCAATGCTAATCATGGGACAGATACGCCGGGCGCTGTACAGGGCTTTGGCTTAATGGTGGTCATCCACGAAGAACAAGACGGCCGCTTCATTGTGCGATTCGTGAGCGAAAACTCCAAAAGAATTATCGGCTACACACCACAGGAGCTCTTCCGAATGAACAACTTCCTCGACATCTTCACTGATGAACAGGCCGAGAATCTGCTGGATCATGTCGATTTCATTAGGGATGAGGACTCGGATCCGGCTGTCAACGGTCCCGAGGTTTTCAGTCTCTCCATTCGACTCCCCAAAGCCAAAAATTTCGTCAAGCTATGGTGCGCAATCCATGTACACCCATCACGCCCGGAACTGACTATCTGCGAGTTTGAACTCGACGACGACCACGATTACCCATTGCGACCTCCTGAGGAGGATTATCCTGACACACCCGAAGATACCCTACAGTCGAATCCTACAACAGAAGAGCTCACCGAAAGTACAGAGATTTTGAGCAAGCCACTACGAGTCTTGCGCAGTGCGCGCAGGCGAAGAGGCGAGGCAGGAGCAATGCAAGTGTTTGATATAATGAGCCAAGTACAGGAGCAGTTGGCAAACGCTCCCAATCTGGAAAAGTTTCTAAAGATCTTGGTCGGCATTGTCAAGGAGTTGACGGGCTTCCACCGGGTCATGATTTACCAGTTTGACTCGTCGTTTAACGGCAAGGTCGTCACTGAGCTGATTGATCCAATGCAAACGAGGGACCTGTACAAGGGACTGCACTTCCCGGCTGCAGACATTCCCAGACAGGCACGCGAGCTCTACAAGCTCAACAAGGTACGATTACTGTACGATCGAGATGTCGAGAGCGCGAGAATCGTTTGCCGAACGCCCGAAGATTTGGAGACCCCGTTGGACATGACGCACTCTTACCTTCGTGCAATGTCGCCGATCCACTTGAAGTATCTTGCTAACATGGCAGTGCGCTCTTCCATGTCCATCTCGATCAACGCCTTTGGCGATCTTTGGGGTCTGATTGCGTGCCATTCCTACGGGCCCAAGGGGATGAGAGTCTCATTTCCCATACGAAAAATGTGCCGGCTTGTTGGTGACACCGTCTCAAGAAACATAGAGCGTTTATCGTATGCTTCTCGCCTCCAAGCCCGCAAGCTTATCAACACGGTGCCCACCGACAAGAACCCGTCGGGCTATATAATAGCCTCCTCGGATGACTTGCTCAAACTGTTCGATGCCGATTTCGGAATGCTTTCGATACGCGAGGAGACCAAAATCATGGGCAAGATTGAGCAGTCGCAGGAGGCGCTAGCTATGCTAGAGTATCTGCGGCTGCGCAAGTTCTCATCCGTGGTCACCTCGCAGGACATCAAGATCGACTTCCCCGATCTTCGTTACCCACCAGGATTCCAAGTCATCGCCGGTCTTCTATATGTGCCCTTGAGCGTCGGTGGGAACGACTTTATCGTCTTCTTCCGCAAGGGTCAAGTCAGGGAAGTGAAGTGGGCGGGTAACCCACACGAAAAGAACATCCAAGCTGGTTCCACCGCGTACCTCGAGCCCAGAAAGAGTTTCAAGGTCTGGTACGAGACGGTTATTGGCAAATCTCGCGAATGGTCGGAGGAGCAAGTCGAAACCGCGGCAGTGCTTTGCTTAGTGTACGGAAAGTTTATTGAGGTTTGGAGGCAAAAGGAAGCAGCCCTGCAGAGCAGCCGTCTCACCCGACTATTACTCGCAAATTCGGCACACGAAGTGCGCACGCCGCTCAACGCCATAATTAACTACCTGGAAATTGCACTCGAAGGTTCCCTCGACCAGGAGACCAGGGACAATCTTGCAAGATCCCATTCAGCCTCAAAGTCCTTGATATACGTTATTAACGATTTGCTCGATCTGACCAAGACAGAAGAAGGGAAGGATCTAATCAAGGACGAGGTTTTCGATCTGCTTGCGTGTATACGTGAAGCTACGGAGCCTTTCAGGCACGATGCAAAGCGGAAGGGCATCACATACGAGGTTATTGAGCACCCCGGGCTCCCTCGCCTCGTATCCGGAGACCAGAGACGAGTCCGACAGGCGGTCGCCAACATTACAGCAAACGCCGTTAAGCATACGTCTGAAGGGTCTGTCAAGGTTGAGCTGTATGTGGCGGAAGTCCAGGATCGCCGAGTTCGCATCGATATCGTGGTCCAGGACTCCGGCAAGGGCATGAGCAACGCCCAGCTGGATGCGCTTTTCAGAGAGCTTGAACAAGTCGACACGGATCTTGGATTCGAATCATCTGACGAACACGGCGCTGACAAGTCGCAAAGCGGTAAAACGCTCGGCCTGGGTCTTGCACTTGTCGCAAGAATTTTGCGAAACATGGATGGGCAGCTCCGGCTGAAGTCCGAGACTGGGAAGGGATCCAGATTCGTGATCCAATTGCCCTTCGACCTCCCCGAGGAGGAAACAAGCCGAGATGCTGTGGGAGTAAGCAGTGGCCACACTGCGCAGCAATCCATCGGATCTAGTAACGCCTCGGTTTCCGCTGCCTCCGTGACCCAGATGCAGGACGGCGAAGTGATGCTGGTCGACCGCAACAACGGCAGCTCATGGTCTGTCAATAACGCGACTGGCTCGCTGGCGTCCAAGAAGAGCTATGATGACAGTCGGAGCATCGAAAGCAAAGGCAGCGGACGAAGTGCGCTCAGCGATGCGGACAGGCTCATTGGCGCCATTCAAAATCCTCTCACACTAGGCGAGCCCGAGCCAGAAAGCGTCGCTCGGCAAAGGAGGGGCTCACGGGGTCCCTACTACAGCCCAGCTTCCAGTCTTCTCGGACCCTCTAAGGGGCGGTCGGTCAGTCCAGGGAGCCGAAAGCGGCCAGATGCTCTTGCGCGGTCGGTCTCGTCGCCAAACACTAAGAAGGTTTTGCCTCGCCAGAAACCAACGACGGAAGTTGCAGCAGGGCCTTCTGAGCCACCAGCAGCAGGGGTGCAGTATGTGACTGACAGTAGGGTTCCCATCAAGCCGGTGAAGTTGCCGGACGAAATGTTTGACAAGCCCGTGGTTCCGCCGCAGAGCACGTCAAAGGTGCTCTTTGAAATCAAGGATGCTGTTGCGGATAAGAAGGCGAAAGCAGCACCACCTGCGGTCAAGGAACAACAGTCTGTGCCATTACAACCACCCGCGCCAGTCACGCCCGCCACGCCCGCGCCCGCCAAAGAAGCATCAACAAACAGCAAGCTGCAAGTTCTGGTTGCCGAAGACGACCCCATCAACGTCAAGGTGCTGCGTAAGAGACTCGAGAAGGCCGGGTACAAAGTCACCCACGCCTTGAACGGCGAGGATTGCGCAGCAGTGTATGAAGACAAGCCCATGGTGTTTGACGTGGTCTTGATGGATATGCAGGTATGTTTTGTTCCCTCTCTCCCCCCTTTCCCTTTTCCCTCCACTAACACATACCGTTTAGATGCCAATCGTCGACGGCCTTACTAGTACCAAGATGATCCGCGCCTTCGAGAAATCCAACCGGCACGGCGGCCAACAGCTATCCGATATCGCCTCCGACAACGGCCGCGTCCCGATCTTCGCCGTCTCGGCCTCCCTGGTCGAGCACGAAAAGGACACGTACGTAGACGCCGGCTTCGACGGCTGGATCCTCAAACCCATTGATTTCAAGCGCCTCGAAACCCTGCTGCAGGGCATCACGGATAATAAAGTCAGGAATGACGCGCTGTATGTGCCCGGCCAGTGGGAGAGGGGTGGCTGGTTTGGGAGGAAGGGGATGGGGCAGGAACAGCAGAAACATCACCAGCGGGAGCACCGGGAGCAGCAGCGGGAACAGCAGAAAACTGCTGCGGTAGATGGGCATGGGCAAAGAAAAACAAAACCGGAGCCGAAGGGAAGTATGCTTGATTTGTAGCAGGCGTCAACTGTACGGAAGTCAAGGGGTTAAGGTAGTAGGTAGTGTGTAATCGGGGAATATGGGGGTCGGAAAAAAGACTGCAAGTATAGATATCCCTCATCATTGACGAGGACACAACCGAAGAAAGAGGAGGGGCCGTGAAAGAGAAAGGGAGAAGGGGGCAGAGAGGTGGATTACATTCTACATACATATACCATACATACCTGAGAGTTCACCGGTGTTTTTGGTGACAAGAGTTTGGGACGGGGCAGCAAGCAGACAGGCAGGCAGGCAGGCGCGCACGGAGGAAGGAAAGACGGCGATGGTGGGGCTCTGTCGACATTCGCAAGATGTTGTGTAGAAGCCTCTAGAGCTCATTGGTATTGCTGTCGCTGTGGCTGTTTGAGAGAAAAGAAATAAGATACCTGGATACATTACCGTATACTTTTGTCTTTTGGAACTTCTAAAGATGATGAGATGAGATCATGAGAGAGAGAGCAGTGGGTAGATGGATGGATGGGTGTTTGATAGGTGAGGAATCTAGGTGTTGAATCGATGCTCTCATCTTCATGTCATGTCTCGAGCTTAGGTCGCGAACCATTCATTGATTGCCGTTGCAATCACCCGCATCGGGTCAAGTCAAGCAATGAAGCCATCAAATGACAAGCATGAGAACGTTGTCCAACCTAATCTAGAGGTAGGCATGGTAGGTATTCTTTATTCATGTTTTTTATTTATTTTTCTCGAGAGCAGCTAAGCCAAGCCGTGCCGTGGTGCAGCATTGCGAAGCGAGAGGGGAGAGGATGCGCTGATGGGACATGCCAGGCAGAATATAGGTACAGCATTTGGAAAGCATGCCAACAAAGTTCCGCGGGATTGTAGTATAGTGGTCAGTACTTCTCGTTGTGGTTTCAGTTCCTTTGTGGCAAACACAACGATCCGAGAGGACCCCGGTTCGATTCCGGGCAATCCCACTTTTTTTTGTTCTCGAAAAAGCCCTCCTCCTGCCGTGGAAGGGGTTTTGTGTTTCTCTTTATTTTTTTTCCTGGTTTTCTTTTTATTCTTTCTTTTTGGTTCCTCTTTTTCGTAGTTTTCGTCGTTTTGTAGTTATCACGGGCAAAGAGTAGAGTGTAGATGTAGATATGCGTAATTGCACGAAGGAGAAAGGGAACAGTCGTAAGCTGTGCGCAGAGGACTGGCCTTAAGTAGTGTCCCAGCCGCGCGAGGCTGGGAGGACTTGGCCAATCAGGCTGCAGCAGTCTCAGAAGCAGCTGCAGCCTGCACAAGCGTGTGAATGGTACATGGTGGTGAGACCATGGCCCCAATCACGTACGACAGTCACAGAGGTCTAACCCTGTGACAGTAGTAGTCTTTCTTCTTCTTCTTGTTTCTCTAGAATAGGTGTTCTGCTGTGTCGTTGCGTGGTGGTTGCGATTCTTTGATCTTGATAGTGAGTGAAGGTGGTCCTGTGGCGCGGAATCGCGATCCGATGGTAGTGGGTGGTTGGTTTTGCCCAATCTGGAAAGGCGCAGGTGCTGCGGGTGCAGGTGATGACTGCAGAGGCAGAAGCAGGCTGAGCTGAGCTGTGTGGCTCCTGCTGATTGGAGAGATTGGTGCTTTCCCGTGTTCATGAGGAAAGAGCAGGAGGTCTTGCTGCCTGTCAGAGAATCTTCCCCAAGATTTCATCCCCCCTCCCCCTTCTCCTCGTCGTCCTCATCCTCCCCATCACCTCCCCCGACCTTCCCCGCGCGAACTCGATCATATCACGAACTCTGGCGACTTTCTCTTCTGTCACCCTTGCTCCCCGAAGGACTCCCGCAGGACTCCCGAAACATCACGACGAAAATGATCTGCTCCGTGTGCCAAAAGACACTGCAAACTACAATCAGCCATTTTCGGATTGCGAAGAATCAGGATGAGCATTACTTTGTCCGAGCGACTTCGGATGACAAGCCTAGTGAAGAGTACATCCAGGATCATCATAAGACATGGAATGGTTTCAAGGATTCGGTCGGCCAGGGCTGCTATATTTGTTCGACCGTTTGGAGGTGGACAGCTCCAGAGGACAGGCGTCTCTTGGATATCCGTTGGCAGGAAATAGAGACTGAAAAGACACCTAATGTCTACGGAAACGCGGCATCTCAACTACTAATGAACTATCGAAGACACCAAGACTATGAGTGCTTCACATTCAACTTCACGTTTCTCATACACCCCGAGACTAGCGATGCTTATCCTGGCTATTTATTGGAGGAATTTGTTCACGAGAATCATTTTGTGCTAGAGTTCAACGAAGGTAAACAGCAGCAGAGTTTCTTTACATTCGTGATAAGCAGTGGACTGTAGACAGTCCAACGTAAGATCTACTCTGTCTGGAAACAATGCTAATATCCACCCGGTTGAAAGGGAGGACCTATGCCGTTCCTACACTCGAAACAAGCACGTGGTCTCCAAAAGCCCAGCGTCTGGCAAGAGGTTGGGTTGGTGACTGCGTGGATAACCATAAGCAGTGCAGACCTCCCAAGGGTGATACTTGCTGGTATCCGACGAGGCTCTTGGACCTTGGCGAATTAACGGATGTGCGGCTCGTCGAGACGAAGGACACGAAGCTAGCCGGCCCGTATATCACAGTTACCCACCGTTGGGGGCATGTTGACGAGGAATTTGTGTTGAACAAACAAACACACCCTCTGCTGATCGGGGGTATGCACTTGGATTCAATACCACGATTATTCCAGGATGTTATCTCAGTAGCGCGTTTACTGGGAGTGCGGTATCTTTGGATCGATTCGCTCTGTATATATAATGCAAGACAAGGACGACAAAACCGACTGGGAGCATGAAGCATCTCTAATGGAGAAAGTGTACTCACGCTCTTATTGCAACATATCCGCAGCAGACGCCGAAAACTGTTCATGGTCGCTTTTCAACGTACGAGATCCTCAATCGATCAACCCGGAAACACTTACGCTGGATCTTGTCAGCGATGAAACTGGCTTGGTGATTCCAGTTCACTTTTACGTGTATAACTGTGATTTTTGGTTCAACCAAGTCACCAGGGCATTGGTGAACACTCGCGCCTGGGTCCTCCAAGAACGAATCCTATCCCCTCGAGTCCTGTACTTCGGAAAGCATCAGTTAATGTGGGAGTGCTGTGAAAAGGACGCTGCGGAAGTATTTCCTCACGGACTTCATCCGGAACTTGCGGCCTCTGAATATGTGCGATTTAAGTCTCTCGCTTCTGAACTGAATCAGGATGACCAAAGGGGCTATCTTTCTGCTCAAAATCTATCAATTTCGCAGCTCTTATGGGACCGGATTACTCTGAAATACACACAATGCGACATTTCTCGGCCTGAGGATCAACTCGTTGCCTGCTCGGGGGTAGCAAAAAGATTCCAATCCATGATACAAGACACCTACGTGGCTGGCATGTGGCGTACCAACCTTGAGACTCAATTACTTTGGAGAAAACATGAGGGGTCGGTCGGAGCAAGGTCAGGCGTGTACAGGGCTCCTACCTGGTCCTGGGCATCCCTTGATGGCGCTGTATGGCCGTCACCATGGCCTCAAGATGGCTGTCAGATCGAAGTTGAGGATGTGCACCTCAGCTACGAGACGTCCGACAAGACGGGTGGGATAACGGACGGCTGGTTACGCTTGCGCGGAGTTCTTTTGGAGACCAAGCTTGTCAACTCGAGGGAGCATGAGGCGGCCTTTGATTTATACTTGGAGGGAGTGAGTGTAGCGGCCATTCTTGCGTCTGATAATCGAGTGTCACCCGCTGTGTGCTTTGATATCTCAGAGGACAGAGTTGACTACGATGTCGAAGGCCGGTTTTTTTCCATGGTTGGACACGCTGGAAACGCAGGATTAAATCCGGCGTTGCTACTCTTCAAGATAGTTGACGAGCAAGGAGGTGTGTTTGAGCGAATTGGGGTGGTTTTGATCCGCTTCAAGAAGCAGATAGAGAAGATACGGTCCATCAAACGGAAGCGAAGAAAGCCACCCTTGCCTTGCGCCGAATTCAAGGACGGGAAGCACACCATCATTGTCAAATAGCACACCAGGAACGAGGGTTGGAGATAGAAGCAGATGAGGATGGCGATCTCCTCGAGCAAATAAGAAAGTTTCTGGTTCCAATCCATATATAGAGTCCCGGCGGGACTGTCCAAGTTCGATCAACTTCCAGACCTAGATGACCCAGAGCACTTGGCCACCTCCCCAGTTCCAGATACCAGTAGTGGTATCTTTCTCCAGACTTGATCGACAGCAGGAGCATCAGACGTCCATCATCGAACCTGCTGAGCGAAAGACTCTTGAGATCCGTCTCCGAAATCATCAATAGGGAAAAGGCACAGAAAAAGAGGAGAGACAAGAAAAGAAAGTAAAAGACAATAACTGAAGCTAGGAAAAGAAGATACAAGAAAAAAAGACAGGAGAAAGAAAAACAGCGGAAAGAAACAAAGGGAAAGAGAAACAGTGAAAAGAAAAACATAGAGAAGCAAAAGCAAGAAAATAAGAAAAAGAGAGAAAAGGGACAATTTTCCATACCACATACCCCTGAACCTCCCTGCTCACTACTCATCTGTTCAACTCTACAAATACCAAACAGCAAAAGAGTTGTACCAAACAATAACCCATGATCAACACAATAAAGCAAAACACAAACTTCCCTTCAAACCACTCCTTAACCACATTCACACCCTATCTCCTCATCTGTTAGTCATCCTCTTCCCATTCAATTCGTTGCCCACACTCTCTTCACACTCTCTCCACCGATCACACCCCCAAGCACAGGTACCCCTCAACGACCTCACCCCCCTTCAGTCAAACCCACCAGTTAGAACTTTCCTTTCCACAGTTTCCATAGTTTCCATAGTTCCCATAGACTTGAAAACTGGAAACCCGTTTCAATAACTGGATAAAATTGTTGACCATGTAATGGGAATAGAAGGAAGCCCTGACACAGGGTATCCCCATCGCATCCCATCATATCGCACCTACTTTATAGGCTTAGAATAGAATAGCCAAGTAGCGCCCGGACAGTTTACATTCCGTTCGACGTTCTGTTTGAGGGATGTGAGCTCGTCACAGCTGTAAAGGAAGAACGGTTGTTGTCTGACGAAGTCATCATCGACGACAGGATTCTCTCTTCTAGACTCTCTAGACTCGGTATCGACAACAACAACATTATTATGATCATCTAATTCACTTATACAGTACCATACCCACGCAGCGTTTCCAGCCATCAGTATAGTACAATTAACTGTCTGAGTTTTGTCTCCACAGAGGGAGTAGGGAGGAGGGAGGCTCAGTACCTACTACCTATCCCGCATCAATCCCAATCGATGCGTACATAGCCAGGAATGAAGTGATATGAGTTATTCAATTCCAGTAAACCGTACTACATATGGATCACAGCCAGACAAAGGGCCACCAAACTCAAATCTAAAGGCATCTATAGGCATCCATAGGCGTCGGCATAGGATAAGTAAGCATCACATCACATAACATAACGAAAGGTAGGTATCAGTAATCGCTTCCATTCCATTTCTTCCCTCCCTCCCGCCCATCCTCTATCTCTCCTTCGGCTCGGATTGACATATATCTGCCCCATCGGTCCCTTCAGATCTCCACCAACAAATATTTCATCGAAATTCCGCCCCCCTTCCTTCCCCGCCAATCCCGGTATC